AGAAAAGGCAACGGATCCCAGAAATGGAAAGCGCTTCATCAACATCACTTTGGCCAATTGAAACAACTTTTTGCTTAATCTTGGTGTGCTCGTTGCTCTTGCAGAACTGAAAATTCGCTAGCTTCTTTCTCTTAGTAAGTGTTATTCGATCAGTAATAGGCACTACCAGGTACAATTAAGATAAGACATCAAATTGTTTAGAATTACAATTTTCTTGTATTATTATTTTGAAAAATTTTGAAAATGCTAACTTTCTATTTGCTGTCTGCTATAATTTTTCAAACTATAATTTCAGCTTAACTGGGTTCAATGCCTATTTGAGCTCCAGATCAATCCCACTGACTGGTGATTGCTGATGGCAATAGTCAATAGAAATAGCCGAGAGACAGGCGAAACGAAGGATCCGCATAGTGTGGTGGTGAACGCGTTAGCCCCGGAAAGGTTGATAGCGCGTTTGTACCCCACTGCAGACACGTGCAGTCCAGAGTTCTCAGCATCATTATCATTATACTTCACATCGCACTGTTGAAGCTCTTGATATGTTCGGGCATTCACAATGACGTAACGCGAACATTTTGGAGGTATCTCAATAAAAAAGCCCTGTAATACTTTTGAAAAATCGTGTATTTTTTTCATTAAACAACAAATGGGAAAATACGGCATTGAATTCAATAGTCGTGTTGATATCGCCATAAACTTTCTCTACAATGTTGCTTTGTTAGTGGTTCAAGCTAGATTAGAACATTTAGAGATGAAAGTCACTTTACTACTCCTGTCCATTGCCAGACTGATGCACTGTGACATAACGGACGGTGACACTGGAAATAAAGGTTTCATTTCCGGCCGTGAAGAACGTCATGATACTGGAAACACTGAGCTTACAAAGTTTCAGGTAACAGAGCAATCGAGATTTTATGCTCACGAAATAGAAACGGCCTTAGATGGCTAGTCGCATTGGAATCCTCAATGTCGCCAACGTAATGGGGAAATCGATTAAATATTCGAGAAGTTCTTATAGAGCAAAAGAATAATTCAACCATGGGCTTATGAACCTGCTATACCTTACCTATCCACGTTTTTGAGCTGTGTCTACCTTAAGAATAACTCTAATCATTGTCCACGAAATAGTTGCAGAATCGAGGAATTATGACCTAAATTTAAGCCACTATTTTTTTAAAACCGATTCTGGATGTGGATATGGTAGAACTCTCTTTCAAAGTGAAACCATCCTGGCAGAGTATTTTAATAAGTTGGAGTTGATCGTAGTTCGATGTTTCCAAAAACTCCGGGTGGGTTGTACTTAGGAAACATGCTCAAGAAATCTTTAAGGACCTGGTGAGGGTCGCCCGTTTGAAGAGACAAGTAATGAAGGACTACGGCAATTTGAACCCGACATGGACGAATGGCGTCTTCTACACCTTCAACACATCAGGTCGGTCTTTTGCTAAATGTTTTGTCTCATTAGGATATTTAGACAAGGTTCCAGCTTTGACTTAAACCACCCCACAGCAACAACTCTCTCTAGAATAGAAAATCTAGGAACGACATGTGCTATTAATAGCGATAGTGAGTCTCACATAAAACGCAAAAAAAAAGTAATAGAACTTTCCCAAATGCAAACTTATTAATTCCGACTAACATGAACGAAGTTGTTATACATGGGTCGTTATCATTATCTTTATCTATTATTTATCATTTTTCTTTCACATAATTTGACGTCATAAATGTAGAGATCCCAAAAGTTCTTGCCTGCCTTCGATTCATTCCATAGCATCCACCATGAATAAAGGTTTTCGAGTTTTTGCGTATGAGCTCAGATACTGCTTGAGGATTGTGCCTTCTTTACGAATGTTGTTCGAGGCTCGTCGAGACGATCTTCCTTGAATGCTGGCATGTCACTACAGGCGCGTTCTCAGATTTTCATCACAGGAATACGCCAATTTTTGTGTAGCGGTGAAAAAGGGTTGATCTCAGAATAGCCCTTTACCAATTTCTCGACCCAAGAAAGATGGTAAGCACTCTTTGGCCAGGGAAAGGAGCAAACCAGTGCTCCGTGTTCGTTGAACGGCATCACTACCACAGCACGGGCCACCATACAAGAACGCCTGATGTCTTAATAGGACTTTTATTCTAGGATTTCAGAGTTTTTGAGTATTTCATCTTTTTTACAGTCATCTGAATCACATAAACTGCAGGAAATCCATAAATTTTTCCAATTTATTCAAACAAAAAATCAGTTGTTTCTATAATTTAACAAGCGAAATTTCAGATCCCGTCGTGCGCAAATTATTCACTATGGCCGTCAAGGTGTGGCAAGAATCCACTTGTATCGACTTTAAAGAAGACAAAAATGGTTTGTCTGACATCCAACAGTAAGAAAGGATTAATACTTATTGCATTAATTTCTTTGCAGCTAAGGACAAGGTGGTCGTAGTCAAAGAGCCCGAGACCTTTTCGAGCATTGGACGTGTCGGAGGAGATCAGTTTTTTTCCATCGGTGAGGAAGATCCGACGGTGCGTCGCATTTAAAATAACATGTCTAAGAACAACACATTCGACTGAAATTTTTCGCCTAGTCGAATATTCCGCATAAGGAACCATCCATTTAAACACTTCAGGTCGGGTCCGCTGTGCATGAACTTGGCCATGTGCTTGGATTTCTCCACACAATGCAAAGATACGATCGTGATAAGTATGTCAATGTCCTTAAACAAAACATTAACGTAGGTTATTTTGGAAATGATAGTGATTAAGATGCATGGAAAGACTACTCACACCATTTAGCCGCACCTACTCATAGAGTTCGATAAAATAGGGAGGGCCTACGCCGATGTTTACGGACTCACGTATGATTACGGAAGTGTTATGCACTATGGAGAACTAAGGTTTGAAACATGTGCTTAGAATGTTTGTCATGCTTACGAGTACCGTTGTTTCTGTTAGTTGTTCCTTCAACAAACAACGCACCATGATTGCATTAGAACCTCTGCATCAAAAGACGATGGGATCTGAACTGATTTCCTACTCTGATACTTTCATGATCAACGAGCACTACGAATGCAATGGTCAGACACATGTAATCACTCTGCAGTGGAGCTTGTAACACTGGTGAAAGTATAATTTTTTAGCAAAATGCAACAAATCCACGTCCGCCAAATGTAAGAATGAGGGATATCCTCATCCTCGAAATTGTTCGATATGTATTTGTCCAAGTGGCTACGGTGGTCCTCTATGTGATCGGCGAGTAAGAAAAAGTGTTAACAGTTGTTGTAAGACCGACAGTAAAACTAGATCCGTTGCAGCCGCCTGGATGTGGAGAAGACCTCTTAGCAACAGATAAACCGAAATCGGTCGTCTCCAGACTAGGTTTTGGTTCCGATAACAGGGATGAGTTCACTTTCTGCAATTATATGATTAAGGTGCGATTTCTTTCGTTTAAATTAGCATTACGACTGAGACGTAATAACGTTCAGGCGCCTGAAGGAAAGAAAATTGAAGTGAACGTCAGGTCGATCTCCCTTGGCTACGACGAAGGTGGATGTCCAAGAGGAGGAGTCGAGGTTAAAGCTCAAGAGGATCAGAAGCTAACCGGTTACCGGTAGGAATGAATTTTAGAAAAATTCACAGTTCCTAACACAATCTTAGATGTTTTTTTTAAGTTTCTGCTCGATAAATGGCAGTGAAGGTCCCGTCGTCTCCAAGTCAAATCCCTTGCCTGTGATCCTTTTCAATAGGGTCGGTGTTATGCAGACAACATTTACCTATCGTTATGTTGATTAACTGCGAAGAAGTGTTCACTCATTACAAGAAGTACTGCACAACTAATTATTATTGCAAAAAAAACTTTATAAGGATATGATGAATAAGGAAGCCGTGTTTAAATTATTGGCCTCACACGAGCTTAACCTGTGGACCATCGACTCAGATTATAGGCTCTAGTGAATACGAAGACGTCGAAACCTTAGCCGAATAAAACTATGTTCTGGACACCGCGTAAGCTCAACAATCTAAACACATGTTTGATTATTTTACAACCGAAGTTAAGTGACAGTCGGTTTCAAAATTAAGGAAATCGTTACTGGTTATGTCAAAGAAACCAGTGTATGCCAATAATGTTTCTGAGAATGTGACCTACTTTTGCGCGAGTTCTACCCTTACGCAACCCTTGTGTTCAGCCGTGATTTTCTCTATTCTATGAGAATGGGACTCCATTGAAGAGGCACGCTGTAGCTGTCACCTGTAGTCCCGTTGATGATCGAGTGACTCGAGCGGGCGCCAGCATTTCCATCATTCCCTGTCGCGTGCAAGAGCGGCCCAGTGGTTCCTGCACGCTCTAGTGACTCGTCGAGCATCGTATCTTTTTTCAACGCTCCTTGTAAAGAACTCTGACCATCGGGTCGATGGACTTCCTCAGTACGTATGACAACCCGAGGAATCCAGTCACTAACGGCTCTTGTCCATCAGTTGTCATTCGTACGCATTACGTGTCCGGCCCACATTATCTTTGATTGTTTGGCGTACAGAACAGCATCTTTGATTCTTGATCGTTGACACAGATCGGAGCTTCGGATCCCATCGCTTACTTGTGTGGAACGGGATACTCCTAGCATCGTCCTGTCGACTGCGCGTTCAATAACGCTGAATGACCTTTCATTCTGCTTACGCAGCGATGAGGTTTCTGACGCATACGTAAGGGCAGCAAGTACCGTTGAGTCGAAAAGGTGGGCACGGAGTCGGGTGTTCTTTGTTCTCTTCACTACAACCTCGATGCTCTTGAAAGCTTCCCAAACTCGTCTCCTTCTGCTCAGCTTTGGAGCTAGGTCGTTCATCATATTGATTTCCCGACCTAGAGGGATATAACTGGAGCATTTTGAGATATTCGTTCCGTTGAGCGTGATTGGGGCATGCGAAACCAATTCCTTCTTTATGAACATCGTTTCTGTGAGATTTAGTCGAAGACCTCGAAGTCGAAGACCTTTCCACAGGCTCTATGAACGTCGTCAAGCGTACGTTCCCGCTTGGCTAATGTTTGGTGTTATAGAGACGATGTCATCAGCAAGGCGAAGATGGTGTAAATTCCGACCGTCGATTTTCACTCCCATATTATCCCATTCCATTGTTCGCATGGCGTTCTGGACGGTGGCGGTAAATAATTTTGGCGAGATGGTATCGCCTTGCCTAACTCCTCTTTTGGCGTCAATGTTAATATCGCTGTAGAATGGTGATATGTTCGTTGTGAAATTTTTGTATAGCTTACGAAGAATCTTTATGTATTGAGTCGGGACTCCTTGACTATCAAGGGCTTCCCAGACTGCTTCCATCTCAGCTGAATCAAAGGCCTTCTGTAAACCGATGAACGTGAGAAAGGGTGGTCTTTTGTAATCTCGCCATACTTCAATGAGCCTTGCTGTGGTGTGGGTGTCATCCATCGTACTAAATCCTCTTCGAAACCCTACTTGCTCACATGGTTGTCCTTCAGACAGGTAACGTGTGAAGAGCCCTGCCGGTGTGTTTGCGAGCACTGGCAGAGTTCTTCAGATGTTCTGACCTTATCCTCTCCGGACCTGGTGTTGTTCGATTTTTCACCGACGAAATGGCATGTCGGATTTCTGAAAGGAGAACCGAAGGTACAATATATCCATTCTTACTTATTTCATATGACGGGAGGTGGACGTGGCTATCGAAGTGATCTGGGTAGTATTCGTGAATGATTTTCTCATTGCCTTTCTGGACGCTGTAACTGTTCCGTCTGGGCGTCGGAGTGCAATCATTTTGGTCTTGTAAGTGGTGAAGCTTCAGTTGGCTTTGTGAATGCTTTTCCCAGCCTCTGCAGTTTCGGCCATTACTGCTGCTCTTCTTTCTCTAAGATCTTCTTCTATCGCCTCTCTGCATTGTTTTGCGAGTTCGGACGTTAGTTCTCGGCTGCCTGCAGCTCGCGCGATTACCCGCTGGCGCATCAGCTCAAGTGTTTCTGGAGACAGGCGTCTCTTGGTGACTTTCGAACTCTGAGCTTTCATAGCGCAACCGTGATGGTGTTGAACGAGCCGATCGTATTCTTCGTCGATGTTATCGACAACGGCATCTTCCCAACAGCCGACTAATGAATTGAACAAATCCCAGTTTACGGTGGTTCTTGGACTTCGGTTTTCGAATTTAGCAGCTTTTTCTCCTTTCTGCGAGAAATACAATCTTGCACGAAGGAGGCGATGGTCTGATCCTGTGTAGAATTTTGGGACAACGGCAACATCGGTTATGCAAAACATTTTATTTGCCTATAATGTGGTCTATTTCGTTATGGTACTCTCCATTGGGAGACTCCCACGTCCAGCGCTGAGGATAGAGCTTCTGGAATTGCGAGCCACCATGGATTGTCTTGGTCGCCATGATAAACTCAGATAGCTGCTCACCTTGTTCGCTCTATTCTAATCCGTAGGTCTCAACGGGATGTTCTTCAGACGTTCTTCTTCGTTAAATCTTGGCGTTGAAATCTCCAATGATAACCTTGAAGAATTTGTGATCTTCTCTGTAGAACTTTTCCAAGTCCATATAGAACGCCTCTACTTCTTCGTCATAGTTTGATGTCGGCACGTAAACGACGAACATTGTCAAAGCCGGAATTGACCCACATCTTTTAATCGTAAACGTCCGATTCCGGTTGCAAGTTGTTCGAATCAATCGATGTTCATGGACAAACTCGTGTTGACGAGAACGCCGACGCCGCCGACTCCTCTACTGTCGCTTGTTCCGAGGAACAGTTCTTCTCCGGTGTCATAGACGGCGTTGAAAGGCTGGCGTCTTCTCGTCTCGGCCTGGCCGATGACGTCGTAGTTTATCCTTCTTGCTTGCATGAGCAAGTCTCGAGGACTTGGATGCAAGTGTACGTGCATTGTAGGTACAGAACATCTCCGTAGTTCTTTGAAGTCTAGGCAGCTTCCAATGGTCCTGAGATTTTAGCAGCCTCTCCGTACTCGTCCTACCCAACGTTGCGAAATTGGGGGCTTTTTTGGCGTCAGGGAAATAAGGCCCGTTCTTTTTACTGTGTTTAGTGTTTTTTGATACCCACGTATAGCTTGCTGGGCTCTGAACGTGAGGGCTGGGTGTACTCATTGGTAGCTTGCCAGGCTCTCCCAGAGTGGACATGGAGCTTATTTGTTGGAGGCGACTCCTAACCACCTCCCATATACTTCCCAGTCACTTGATTGCAGGTTTTTGGCCGAATTGACTCTTAGAATACAATCCGCATATGCAAGAACGCACCCACACACGTATGCATGAATACGTCTAGCAAATAAAGAATGTATGTGCCATATCAGCGCAGCAGAAACAGGGAGTCCATCTCCTAGATCCACCTGCGCCTCGAGGAAGCAAAGGTCGCTTTTGGTCCGCGATTAACCCCCTATTTGCCACCTGGAGACTCGAGTCTCGCTACTAACCGGCTCGAGATCGCTCATATGAGGAAGATCCGTGGACGCTGTGGCTAGCGTTTAAAATACAACTACAGCTAGATACCCTTGTGTTCAGCCGTGATTTTCTCTATTCTATGAGAATGGATTTCCATTGAAGAGGCATGCTGCGGCTAGAAGTGAACCGACTAGCAAGTTTCAGCTTTCAAAGCTGACCAAATAACACACGTATCGAGGACATCGAGAACTTTGTGCGTTTGATCCATCACATGCTGAAAAAGTCATGGGACAAAAGCGAAAGCCATGCTGACGTAGTAAAGGAGGATTAGTGATAAGATGGTCGTAAGAGCTATCTTCATGGGCTTGATATATACGCTTCAACGTTCCTCTATTGCAGCATTTATTTAGAGATTTTTGTGAAACCGCTGTTCTAATGATCGCGACGGTTATTTACTCTGGAAATTTTCCGTACATACTAGGAGAGTAAAGGAAAATCGGATATTCTATTAAGAATCGACCATTGACCAGATTTAGCGACACCAAAAGAAATGCATGAACACGGTGATATGGCTGTGTTCAATATTGCAACCATCTATAATTTAATGCGAAATCATGCAAAAGCGGGAAAAACTGGTCGATAAGAGATGTTGGATTTTAATAGAGTGAAGTGTTCCCTCATAATCAGAAATTTCCTGCTCAAACCACTTGACGAGCCTTCCTTTAGCCCCAGAAAAATGTATACATCGCAAAAACGCTATTATTCAACACATTGACACGACGGCTGCGACAGCGGCGCGGGACTACGTGTAATTTTATGTCGGCTGCAGAAGTACTAAGTAATAACATGAACGGTAAACAGTAACCCGGCCACAACAAAAACACAAAAACACAATAAGGACCACTGCTGATTTTTCGACAACACGCAGTAATCCTTCGACGGCAAACAGATCTGATGGATGATAACATGACCATTCAGTAGATCATGCCATAGTCCTGCGTACAACCAAAGTGCTGAATATTAGTACCTGAAAGCGTTTTCCAGTCTATGTTGAGTCCACGTTTTTCCATGCTCATCTCTTTCGTACGAAAACCATGACCCTGTACAAAAATTCGAAATAACAAAACAGCATTTTACTGGTCAAAAACTTAACATCATATGACCAGTATTATTGACGGCTCAGAGTTTTCCAATTTATCCTGAAATTTTTTCAACAAATGCAGGAAAAGAATTTGGAACATCTCAGACGCATAGATGAAACACTGCCCGATAGTTTCAGGGTATTGATGTTAGGATATCGATCTGAACTAAGCAACAACCAAGTTCACATCGAAGGTGACAGCGGTGAAGCTGGAGGAAAGAGATTAAGATCTCGATTACAAAATCAACTGCGAGAGATTTAAGAATATACTCTATCACAACAATTTCCCCATGTATGACAGTCAATGTCATGTGAATGGACAACTTTAGCTTTGATACACAAAACCGACACACCTTCTGTGAGATGTTTCTTGACCAGAGTTTGAGAAGCAATTTTAGCGAAAAGGTTTTTTAGCAAGCTGCTTGTATTGATGAGATTAAAAGATTCATCGTGTCTTTTCCTATGAGGAGAGCACTAGACTGCAAAATCTGGGGAATTATTGGGGTTTCAGTCTTCCTCTCGCATTCCATTTCTTGCAGTCACTGTTGAGATAAGAGATTTGATAGCCTATTGCCCACCTTCCACTTTACCTACACGGCGACAACGCAGCGTACGGCCGATGGGACAGGTTGTAAAAGATTAAACCGCATATTGGCGTTATGAGTATGAACTATAGTAGAATACACATTGCTGGATAATAAAAAAAGGAATAAAGCTCTCCGCATTGATCAATCCCTAAGGGATGAGCCATGCATTCGACTTCGCTAAGTATCGTCGGAGGTGATTGAATGCATATGTGGCTTTTACAATGACTCGCGGTGGCAGGCCGATTTATCGAGCCAGCGCTGCTATCCTGCCAGAGGAATCTGATACCGATTTGCCGACACCGCAGGGATGGAAGGTTTGGTGGGTCGTGGGCACTGGGATCGATTTCACGTGTGTGTTGCAGTAGCGCTTCCAACTACTGCGCCACACGCGCCCTTACCTGGATAATAGATATATATAAACGACTCAGCTGTGGATTCGAGAAGGAAGAGTCGCGGTTCCAGCGTACATACCACATTAGAGGTCAGGAGTTACTCATAAATGCCCCTCACTGCGGGATTCCCAGTAGGTGCTACAGCGGCCCTGTCTCTGATGCGCAGGTGGATCAAGAGAATGCACTTCTTCTTTCTATTGAATCTACTTGGTACAGACTTTCTGCGTTAACGAAGACATGGGCATGCATGCGGGCGTGGCGGTACTTTCGTATATGCAGATTGTATTCTACGAGTCAATTTGGCCAAAAGCCTGAAATCAGGTGGCAGGGAAACATATGGGAAGTTTTCAACAAACAAGGTACTGATCTATTTTGAAGGATATTGGCAAAATATCCTTAAGTATATCCAGCTTCCCCTCCTCATCATGTTCAGAGTTCAGCAGTCTATATGTGGGTAATAAATGCCAAACAAAGTAAAATAAGTACGCCTCATTTCACTGATCCCAAAATAGTTCCTCATAAAGTGGGTTGGGTGGAACGAGTATGGACAAGATGCTAAAATCCTAAAATTTCAGAGTCATCTTAGCCAGCCTAAATCTCGAAGGACTAATGTGACTGCACTACAGTACGCGAAGCAAAATTTGTCCACTAAACCTTTGGATAGCCATTCCATCATTTCTCCAAATGAACAGGCACTTAGAACACATTCATGTACAAGTCCCGCAGGCAGATCTTATGAATAAAGGCGGTCGTTGAACCACCTACATAAATAAGCCATAGTGAGCAAATGCGTTAAATACATTCCTTTTTGATATATTATGATAAAAAAGAGTTTCAGCGCTCCAGATTCGAACAGCTTGTCAGAAAAGAACTTATCCGGACTTAAAATAAGGAAACGTTGTGTTGTCATACCAAGACATAAGTTTGTTTTGAAGCAACGTAAACAATCAAAACAGACAACAATATTAACGGTTTATAGAATCGATAACAATACTATCCAAGGCAAAAAATACCTTTGATACTACAAAAGTCAACAGCAACACTGAAAAACCAACAATATCAAGTTCCCTTCCGCTTCAGCATCTTGGATTTGTTGAATTTCCTCCTACTTTTATTTCTGTCTTGAGATTTCTCATCTTCCTCAAAATCCTCCAACAAAGACGCAAACTGAATGTACACATAAGACTAAACTATTTGCCAAAATTGAACCACAACCTAATAATAAATAAATAATAATAAAGAAATAATCAAAGTTTCACTCATACGTTGAGACATCACGGGATTTTATAAAAATTACCATGGCAAAATGATGCACTAGATGGCGACATTAAGATATCTAATGAAGTGTTCAGATTGTTCAGCTTACATGACGTCGTTATAAAACTTATAGGTTCTCTATGAATGGAAGCCTTTTTCAAGTCAGTCATCAAAAAACTTTTTCTAATTTCCAAAAAAGACTTTCCATTAAAAAGGGCACTGCGCTATTTCTTGATTAAAAAAACATGAGGTTGCTGTCATGTATCATTTATTCACAGCAGCTGACGTTTCGGCGGATTCCGCCTTCTTCAAGCTTGGATAGGTCAGGTTAATTGCAACCTCGTCAGTCAAACACTTCTATGACCACAACAGAAAAAGGGCGATAACTAAATTTCAACCAGGCTGGAAACGGCTTTTTTACAGATAAGTTTTCCACTGAGTATCCCACATGTTGACCAACCGTGCAGAGGATGGCTAATGAGAACCCTTTTACATGAAAATATCAGCTTGAGATATTACGTGAGATTACGTGTAATAACGAAGCCTTCCTTCCTGCGGTACACCCTGGATTTCTGAAATTTATCCAGAATACGTAGAGGGGTTTTACACGCTGAAGTTTTAGATTCTTGCGGACGGATGGTGAGTTTTACGTCAAAGTCTTTCCTGTTATGTATCTCAGTACTATGCACGCCTAGCTGAGTATTTTGTTCACCTTCACCACTGTTTGTTCCTTCGTGTTGTATAAAGAGTTCGAGGATGGCTTGTACAGCGTAGTCATTTGTTACATTTGTATACAGTGCGCTTACTTCGAAGACTCCATCACGTACGCGTTGTTAGGACATACGTTACGTAAACGGTCCATAAATATTTGGGTATTCGTAAAATTGGCAGAAATGTCTTTCGGTAACTGAGTAACTGTTCGAAAGTTTCGTAAACAAATGTCCGAAATTTGCCACCAACTTCACCGTAGGAGTTTTCTTGCTAAAGAACGATTGAGGAAACTGCGGTATTGGTAATGTCCCTACAATATGCTGCTTATTCCTATCTAGTGTTTTAAATTCAGCTTTATTATGAAGTTCGTGTAGATTACGTGCGAAACCCTGCATGAAACATAACACTTTATCAACGTTAAATTACGTCCGGAACCAGTGCGTGTAAAACACGTGACGCATTCCGGACAAATTCCAGAAATCAAAAAGCGAACCGTAAGAATGCCTGGAATGTCACAAGTGATCTCACACAATTCAGACTGATATTTCAACGTTAGATGAGCTCAAAACCCATCTATGTGAGCTCTATACGGTTGGTGTCCAGGCGGAATAATCAATGAAAACCTCATTTGTGAGCAAGCTGATTTGTTTCGAAAGCGACTGAAATGCACACATAATCGTTTTTCTGTTCATGTTAGAGGTGTTTGGCCAATGAAGTCGCAGTTAATCTAACCCTTCCAGATTCCAATGAGCCCGAAATCCGCCGAAACGTCAGTTTTGTGGATAAGTGATATGGAATATAGCTTAATCCTGTATGGTTGTCAAGAAAAGAGCAAATTTTCTCTTTTATCTAGAACCTAATATTCGAGAAAACGTCTTCGATACTTGAGTTACCAGTTCACGTAAAGCACTGTTTGTACACCTGTGGAAAATTGTTAATAAACGATTAAGCCTCTATCCAAACAGCGAACATTCCAAGAATTACTTAACCATTAACTCGAAAGTGCGGATACATCTGAGTTTATTGACGTTGACAGGTAAATGAACCCCGGATTTACATCAAATCTCGACAAATAAGTACACTCCAGTCAACTATGATACGGTAAACCATTGAAGAGATTTGGTAAGATAAACAAAAACATACAAAAATTGAAAAACCGAAGTTTATAAAGTCTCCAACAAACCTGACAACTAATTTTTTTACATTAAAAACGTCTAAATCTGCACTTACCTTCTCACCAGCTTTGTCAGCATCATTTCCACCGATTTCGTCATCACTTTCGCCGCTGTCGTAAAAATCTCGCTTCCCACGAGACCTAAGAGTTACTGGTCCGTCTTCGTCAGACTCCGACTCCATTTCAACATTTTCGCTGTCGTCATCGTCTTCACTTATTTCTTCCATGTCATCGTCGTTTTCCTAAACATATCATATGGCCAAGATCTTTGAGAAGACAGCAAAGCAACACGCCTTTCTAACCTCACTTCCATCAGAATCCCCGTTACCAACACCATCACCATCGTCACTGTCTAATTCGAAATCAATTTCATCACCTTCACCATCCTCGTTCTCAGCAATATGTTTCACAGATTTGTGCCTTTTCTTCTCTGCAGTGAACTCTTTCGAATAGTCCACGTCGAATTCATCATTAGCCTCTCCTGGTCCAAATTTATCTGGAATCACCTCATTGGACAATTGTTTCGAAAACCGCTTCTACCCAAATTCATACCAATAATTGCATCAAATTCAGCAGAATCAACACTGTCGTTTTCCCACTCATCTTCCTTCTTTGTTTTATGTTGCTCTTTTGGATTGAACCGTATGAAGGCAAACCGATGAAGATAACGTTCGTCAGCAGGGAGTTCAGTGATTTTTTTCGATAAGTACTCCTGTAAAATATCAAACTAATAATCGTTTTCATGGCAGATTATGGTGTTAATTATAACTACAATGATGCTGAGATATTTCCGAAACTCAGGACCATAGGTTTCTCGGGCGCGGATGGATCACGCTATTACCATTTCTGAGGGCTAACGCGTTCACCACCACACGATGCGAGTCCTTCTCTGTGTCTTTCTCTCAGCCGTCTTTATCGTACTTACAACTTAACTCAAGAAGAAACAACATATCCTTAGGAAATAGAATGTCACAACCGTTTGCAAACAAACCATTGATGACACAGGAAGCTTCTTCACACCCCAAGGGTCGATCTGCTTTTTCATTACCGCTCGCTCACTTCGTGATTTCTTCTGAATGCCAGTTTTCGAAAGCAGTTTCGGCGAAATATAGCACATCCATACAGATAATGAAGTTAAATTTAGTAAAAAAAAAGTGGAACTTACAGATCGTCCTTCTTTCGGATTTTTAAATGCAAAGCGGTCTAAAAACTTTATAAGAGTGAAGTCCTCCAATGGGTCACCTTTGTAGTTGATGCATCCATTCTATAATTAAGAATTATACACAGACTATGGGGAACTGAATAAAATATAGTAACCAGCAACTGGAACTTTTGTGAAGAGACTGTTATTCCAAATGATTCACAAATTAAATGAATGAACGGATTTCAATTCTTTTTCAAAACTGTGTAAATTTTCTGCAACGAATCTCATTGCGCCACAAATGAACCACATTAAACTTGTTCTCACTTTTTCCTCATCAAATACGTTGTAAACTGTTGACCAAAAATGAAATGTACATCTACATGTTATTGATAGATTATTATAAAAGATAACTGTGTGTTTGGAAACCAAAGAAAACAGCGAAATTGCTATAGTGAACTCGCCTCTATCAGAGCTTTAGCGAACACTGCAACAGATGGATGGTAATGCTTGGAAAGAAGCAACAACTCACAATCCACCAGATTCCGACAATCTACGAATAAAGGATTTCGTGCTTCATGATCGTACGGCGTTTTTGAAGCGTTCGAACCTGGAAAAAAGAAACTAGATTTCCTACATTGTGTCCATAAACGTTCGTAAACGAATGAACGGATCAGTACCAACATTCATACGAATTACGAGTATCTCTTTGGGTTGGTGAATGAAGCAAAGTTCAGTAGAGAACGGGAATTATCTACTAGCAAAGGTACTAGTTAGCTCAATGCAGAATTCACAAATCTTACGAAATACAGTGTGGGACATTTGTACACAGGTTGAGTCTCAAACCTGGACAATTAAATCTTTGTGTGGGAATCTAACGACTAACACTAACAGCGTGTAGCCTGTGTTTGAGGATTTACTTGCCAACTTGGATGCTTGAAAGACCGGCCTTCACTATTTGTGCAAGTCCCAGCAAAAATTCCATTTTCCAGAGTTTTGCTGGTTTAGTTAGTTCCCTAGGGCCCCGAAGACAGCCTGGCCAAAGTCTGCCACAGGTCGTCACCACCACAGGAACTCATCGCCCTAGTGGATCAGAGGGAGATTTACCATCATGCGACTTTGATACCAGGACGGTGGTGGATCCTGGTATTGGTTTACTCTTAGCTAGGCTTCCTGATGGAAACGCCGGACTCCTTCTCAGCTTGGGAGACCCTGCTGGGGAGACGAATCCCCTTGCTGTATATCACAGTCTGACACCTAGGAACACTTCAAAGCCATGATGAGGCGGCAAACACTTGAGAAGGATCTGGCACTTATTACGTACTAACGCAACCCTTATTTTCGGTAAAAAAAACTTGCATAACAAATGAAGCTCACGTCGATGTATCCATCCGCTTTTTTTGATAACGGTACTACCGGTAGTATCTCCAGTCTTCCTTTCCTCGTCCACATCAATCGATGTCTCATTAGTGAACTCAAAACAAAGTATTTAGAAATTTCGGGATTTTCACCGACATAAGAACGACTTATTGCTTGAACACCATATTATAAATGGCACGCCAAGCTACCTCTTCTTTGATCGTCGTGATTGGTTTCCCATCGACTCCGATGTCCACATAGCGCTCCTCATCTACGTCCTCAGCTGTTAGCTTTGCACTAACCACATCTACTCGCTGAAAAATTAACTAGTAGAGAGAAGTCTAATATGTGGCAGTTCTCACAGGACACAGTTATTTGTAACAAAACATACATCTACATGCTTTTGCAACACAATCAAATTTCTTCCACTTTCGAGTAATCGTGAGATAAGTATAAGTACTCCAGCAGCGAACGAAGGCGTTGCACACGTAGCAGCCTTAATTAAGTAAGATAAAGTAAAACGACACGCTCTTCCGAACGCCAAAACCACAAACCTGCAATAAACGCTTGACAAAAGAGCGCACCCGAGATTCAGACGGATCTGACTTCATCACCTTAAAAAGGAGAAGCAATAGTTGATTATAGCACGAAGGAGGAACCTCGACAAGCAGTTTTCGGTAAAGTGCCGCATAGAAGCGATCCGACAGTGAATCACTGAAATGAAGACCTGGAGAACAACAGCAATATCACAGCTCCGCATTACCGATCACTGCATTTCGAATAAGTCTGTAGCTTATCTTCTAGGAAAACAAAAACGAGAGCTACTGACTTCCTATCAGAAATCTGGCATTAAAATAATCAGATTGATGTATGATTCGGGATTTGGCCAAATGTTTAAGTTTCAAGAACTACTTCAATCTTGATAAAGTCATGTAATGTGCAAAATATTCCGCTATATGGTAAACTTAAAAATAATGCAATGAAATGAAGATTCTTTAACACAAAAACCAATAGACCGAGAGAGCAACCTTATTTGGTGGACCTGATACAGCAGTTTAAGGGTTTGCAAAGACACCGAGTAGGAACTAGTGTGGACAATCCGATACAATGTATTGATCTCTTCGGTCAAGGCGTCAGCTTTCTCTAAACTGAAGATCTTAAAATGCAGCTGCTGAAATTTTCTTGCCCCAAACTGATATCCAAAAAGAAACCTTTTGCGAATGGCAGGGCACGGTTGGCAGCAGAGAGGAGAATCCCAATTAAACGGTTATTGGAAAACTTCTGATTAACGAGAGTTCTAAACAAACCGAAATAGATGGACAACATCCGCACCGCGAGGGCCGAATCATCCGTGCATAGTGTAATCTGAAACGAATTTCCGTAATACACGAGCTCGATGGACCGTAAATGTCCCATTCTTTCTCCACAAACCTGTGATAGAAACGTAGATGCATACAGCTGAGCTCTTGGACTCACATTACTCCTAAGAAAAGTCACTTCTTCCTCAACAGAGTAACCAACAAACCGCTAAATTACCTATAAATTAGCCGCTCCACTTCAGCCACGATTACCAGACGCATATTCGGCTGTCGTTTCGTAAGATCCTCGAGCAGAGTGGCCACGAATGCACCGATCCGAGTGCTTGGATGGCCCATCTTGTTAACCAACATGCTCAGTAGAAACTCAAAACCGACATAACTGTACTGTTAGCAATGGAAAATTTCAGAACAAGTGACAAACTCCTTCTCCCTCGGGACGTTCGGCAAGAAGATTAAGAGCAGTTCGCAATGCTCTTTTACTAAGGTCTTCAACCACTGATGCTGCGAGTCCCTAAAAGCAAAAAATCTACGACCCTCGAGTGACTTTTGCTACAGATATACTGTTGGGCAATGATTGGCAGATATTAGGAAATTCGATAAGATAACAGGAACCTCCAGCGCTCGTAGAAACCTTTCGTATACGAGCTTTAATCTGTGCTCAAATCGCCACAAAATGAGTAAACGCTTCCTTCCGTTTTCGCTGTTCGAGCATATACCTTTTATTCTCCTCAATGGTCGCTAAATCAAGATCGGTTACTGAAGTAACTCATAAGTAAAACTTATAGCTATTCGACTACTCGATAGTCCACATCTCCTGCAAGACATAGTAAGGAAAGCGGTAGAACTAACGTACCCCACTGAAAGGAACCAGTTTTCTACTGGAAGGCAAAATATGGTTCACAAAGATCTCTTCAAGCAGTGCTAAAACCAACAAAAGATATGATAACTGTAAATATCAACCACTGTAATGTAATGTAGTCGTTAGAATGAATGGAACGTACGCAACACCTCTAGCGCTTCTCGAGTGTTCTTCTTCTCGACAGTGCTGATCATCGTTTCGATACAAGGCAAGGAGTGAACAGGAGACTTGTGAAGCTGAACTAACAAAGTTTTAAACTGAAGGATGTAAATGAACAAATGAACGCACTTGAAGTTGCATGGCAGTCATCCGGTCGCTAGCAGTACCCTTCTTCATCACCAACTGCAACCAAGCCGCCTCAGATCCTCCTTGCATGCACACGTCTAAAGCAATTATAGCGATCCTGAGACAGAAAGTCAAGTAAGAGTGGAAAATCGTACAACACTAGATTAGTGCAAGATGGGAAAACAAACTGCCAAGCCCTACATTTATTGTAGAGATCGACATCAGCTCTCAGGAGATCGTCGGCCTCCTCTTCCAACGATAATAAATCCACCGTTCCTAGAGTATCCTTTACAGGATCACTGATTTTTTCATTTACCTAAATTTAGCACTCTACGAGTAATAACTCAGGGCTAATTTAACTGATCAACTCAACAAACGAACCTGGTATTCGTACCACTTCTGCCCTTCACGATGCTTCAATAATGGTTCATTGTGCTCTTTGGCTTGCTTCTTCTTCGTGGAAACAACAGACCCATCGGAATTTCCAAAGGTGGTTTGTTTCCACTGGATAGGTTCCATATTTTCCTCTTTCTAAACACCGATCTTCATGTGGACCGTCAATCTTGAAATCTAATCACAAGGATAAACACCGGTTCCATTTCAAACAGTAACCCACGCTTTTAAACTTATTCTTCTTCTTTCTCTTTTCCTTAATGACTTTTTCCATCGCCAATGCTAAGTAGAACCTGCACTAAAGTGAAACCATTCAATATGTGAGATACACAGGAAGCTTCAATTCGTTCGATATGACGTTGGATAACGTGGAAGAGAAGATAAAGAGTTCATAGATAAACGTTTACGCTAGCAAAAACGAACAAATTTTTAGACAAGAACCACAGGGATTTACGCACCTGTCAGAGCCTACAACGCAAAAAACATCTATTAAGGTAGATCAAAATGAACGATTTCTAAAATTTTAGGAACAAATGAAACAGCATCAACAACAAATGGCTGTGAAAAAAAGAAACACTCTAATGGAATATATCATATCGTGAACAAAAAACATACAATGATGAAGGAAAGAGGCGTATTTTCAANAAAAAAGAAACACTCTAATGGAATATATCATATCGTGAACAAAAAACATACAATGATGAAGGAAAGAGGCGTATTTTCAACGACTGCGTTCACTGAAGAAGCTGATTGCAAATTGTTCGCTAAGGGTAGTCAGATTGAACACAGGATTGATCGAGTCCTAAGAAAAAAACTTACAAAAACAGCACTGAAAACTTAGAATGGCAAACCTAAAGAATGCAAACAACGAATAAAACAAGCCACTGAAATCTGACAATGCAAAAAAAACGGAGAATACACGTTTTCTTTGACGGCTACGGAAGAATGCTGGCATGTACATTTACTCGAACACTTTGATAGCCCGTATTCACTGGTCGTAAGAACTCCAGCAAAATTCCGATTTTTTCGGACTTTTGCTGGCCTGGATATTGCGGTTCCATGGAGTCCCTAGGTCAGCCTGCACAAAATTTGTCTCAGGTCGTTAGCACCACAGATAGTAGCCGGCCTTGTGGATCGGAGGACGGTTTGCCACAATGCCACTAGTTTCATACAAATATGGTGGCGGATCCTGATACTGGATGACGTGGGAGGCTCTGCTGAGGGAATGAATCTCCCTGCTGTGCATGGCAACTCAACACCCAGGAACACTTCCCAGCCACCGTGAGGCGATAAACCGTTACGAACCGTTACGAAGTGGCATACATAATGGCCAAAAAGCTGAAGTATTTCATCTTAACACCTACAACGTTATTTTGACTTCCTCCAAAGATCCCATCGGGTTCACGCGATGCTGAATACATCTGAGCGATAGCCAAACCACTGAGAACGTAACATGTGTGGTACAAATCTCGAGATTTGCCAGGTTTATCACGCATTCCACCACTTTCGTCCTAAATCAGTGGACGCGTCTTAGTAGCAAGTGGTAATGATTATGTGAAATCCACCTAATACCTGACAACATGTTAGAATATATTCTTCTAACATTCTGGCGTCAAATAATCCATCAGTTGGCAAACGACCCTAAAAAAACAGCAGTGAAAACCAAATCCTCAACATACATTAGACATGAAAGGAAATTAGAACCAAGAAACAGAAGGAATGACCCCTTATCCAATAATAATAATAATAATAATAATAATAATAATAATAACAAAGATAACAATAATGGTGATGATATCAGTAATAGTAATAACATAATTACCAAGTAATGACATAATTGGAATAATGATATGAAAAAAGTTCCCCAGCACTATCTAAAACGCAATACAAATTTATGTATCGACAATAAAGTAAAATATTATGCGCGAAGTATCCCGTCGAATTTACGCAATAACGACGACATAAGGAAAGGATATTTGCAAAATTCCGGACCGCATGTGTCTGCGGTGGGGAACGAACCTTCCTCTACCCATTCCGAAGACTAACGGCTTCACCACCATACCATGCGCGTCTTTCGTTTCGACGTTCTCTCAGTTACTTTTCTACCTACCAGTTCCATCAGCAATCACTCTACAATGGGAATGATCTGGGGAGCACAAATCGGCATTCTATTTTACATAATACCCTGCTGTGGAAAATTGTAGTAGGCGGCAAACAAAAAAGTCAACAAGAAAAACACTCAAATGACCGAGTTATAGCACTGTCCCCTTCCAATACTGCTGATAACTTCACACCTACTATACAAAAATGCAGGGACATTCCACAAACCAACACGAAAACTGAGGATGGATGTTTTGTTTCAAGTTAGATCTCACTCAAAAAAAAGACGAACGAATGCGAAACACCGACGATCACCGCACCAACCTCTCTCGCCATTTCGCCATCCACAAGTGGAAAATTTGCCGCTTGCCAGAAACTGTAACATCCATCCACCAACTTATTCGTACGTCCCTAAGCAGCACAATGAAACGCGGACCACAGAACATCAGAGGAAAAAAGGAACTTTCTGAAGAAAGTCACTTGAAAACCGCCTTCGAAGCGCATCTGTCGCTTCACTAGCCAGTGCAAAAACGATTCCGAATCAGCCAAGCGGTACCTTGAAATAAAAGCCCATTTCATCAGATCTTAAGGAAAGGAGCTTTCTGACAGCAGCAAAATTTCATCTGAGATTCTTTACTTCTACAATTTTTGACTACGGACCTGTCAAGAATCACAAGCGAAGCAACACCACAGTAAGCGTAGCCACCATGAGCTTCAGCAAATGGTTCGCCACCAAATCCTCCTTCATACGTCTGACACCTGAAGTGAAATTCTGATAGCAAACTTAAAAAATTAGCTACACAAGGTTCAGGAAATATATCCTTCGAAGGGTTTCTTGGTTCAACTAAGTCGATCACTAATTGTCTTCCAGTAATGGAACCTAGTCATAATTAACATCAAGTGAAGATAAATGTTGCAAACATATGCGCTAAAGATAAACAGCAGCACATGCGTAAAGGTCTCAAAAATATAGAAGTGATGTGCATAGGCCTCTAATCATTAGTTTACCCCTTTACACAACACATGACGTAGCCGAAGTGTCTTCTTGGGAGCGACTTGCTAGTTGCACCGACGGATATATTCCATTCTTTAACACAGGATTACCCTAAACCGTAAAAGAACCTGATGTTTCAGTCCGGAAACCTCACCAAGTATAAACCCACATCACATTATAGCTGCATGAGCTATCATCACCTCATTAGCGTAAAGGATAAAATAAAAGATAAAGCTCTCGGCATTGATCAATCCCCGAGAGATGGGTTATCCATTCGACTTCATTAAGTATCGCTGGATGGAAACGAAGCTTCATTTTATTAACATGAGTAACCCGAGTAACCCGGTGATCAACTAGACTAAAGAAGTTACGTAAAAGCAAGAAAAAAATGCACACCTAATGATCCACTCTGCAACTCCGTTTTTGAGGTCATCGCTCAGTAGGCCACAGAGCGCAGCCACAGCAAGAGCGCAGTACGTCCCCCGGATATCAGCCTCGCCACCGCCGTGCATCGTGAACGAACCGTCCGGCTGCTTCATTCGATGGAGGAAACGGGAGAGCGATTGGCTGGAACACACGATCATTACTGATCATAAATCGGATAAACATTTATCTCAATAACACCATTCGAAGAAAGCATTATTTCGAAATCTGGAACATTTTCCTGGAATTCACAACATTACATAATGTATTTTATGGAAGAAATGGGAAATGTGTTTGTGCTAATACTTCCAAAAATACACTTAATCGCGAAACAAACTATGTGTAATTGTAGAACGATTGAATGTTTACGAACAGATCGATTGCTGAAAGAGCATCCTCCATTTGCAGAGAAGCCAAGGCCATGACGCTTGCATACGTAGGAGCTAAGTGCGCATACTGACCAGGTCCACCTTAAAATGACCCCTCAAAGTGGTCCAACGTATTAAAAGATACCGTTCTCCGAATACGGGAAAAATGAAAGAACATATAATCAACAATCAGTGGACAAACTAATGGATCCATAAGAGAACCGAATACCTCCAAAGCCTCCGTCCGGATGCTGACACGTCTTCAGAAATGCTAGGATTTCGGCTTTTTGAAAGTGCGAAGGAGGGGCGCCCAGAATGTTCAGACTGTGCAGTCCCCAGTAGCACATCCAGGTTCGACTCGCGTCCAATCCCTAGTAATGAATAGGCGGAATTTTATAAGCCATAAGGTAAGATAGGCAACAGGCAGGGTTAATTTCTTCTTTAAGAAATCAAATAAGTCGTATTGAGGCAAACAGATAGCAATTCCGGTATAGAATGCTAAACGCAAACTCACACTGTATCCGCAACCGACCTCCCGCAGACTTTTCGTGATGTAGTCAACATGTAAGCTACGATTCAGCACTGGAGCCGACGGGTTTCCCTGCTCAATAAACCCACACGATAAACGCTGTTCATTGACCAAATCCTCAACACGTTTCTGAAAACACGCAACGAATGCTGATATCTGCAGACGCGAAAGTACTGAAATACATAAAACAGGACTGTACTTGTTCTGTACTGCTGAATGTGAAGTACCCATCGTCATTACAGGTGAATTCTTCTTTGCACGTGCGAAATGCGGTGCACATCCTGAAAGCGACCTGAGAGAGGGAAGAAACGATCAGCAACGATGTGTCATCAAATCATGGTTTTAGCAGGATGGTAGGAAGAAAGATGAACTTCTAACAATGTACACAAGAGAAATCAAAGCGAAAAAGTGCTGAACGGTGAACAAACACGCTCCAACTCCATAATCGATCCAGGGGCTTCGAGTTCCTGGATGGCTAGTTTTGGATGCGTTTTTCATTTTTTACTACACGACATGACATCTTGATCGACAGCATCATTAACCACTGCACCATCGCTGACCCGACATCGCGTGTGTCGCACTGCAAGGACTTCTGCACGTTTGCATTCGATTCAATTCGTCGCGTCCACCATCCACGAAGGTCGTTGAACTTTTTTGGTTGTGGACTTGGCTGCTGATTAACACTCTCACGAGCATGCACATTAATTTGAATACGTACGCTGCTGTACGTTTCGGACCATACGTATTAATTTCAATGCGCATCCTTTTTTCTGCCCTGTTTTGCCTTATCGAGCTTTTCCGTCACACTTTTCGTAATCAGTCGATAGTTTGTCGAACACAGATTGACAGACTAGGTCTGTTCCTTGGAGCAGAGATGCATCCTCAGTATGCTGTACCATCGAACTCTATGTTGCACTATACTTTTGGACGAGTTAGTTCGTCGGCCTGAATTCCACGGCGGGTTCGTCGGTACTCAAATAGTAAAATGTGGAGTGCAGCGGCGTTTTGACGTTGCGTAAACGTATCATATCACTAGGGAAACCTCTATAAATGTATTTTTTGTATTCTGAAGGGCTATGCTTCTTCAAAGTAGCCATTTATTAGTGGGAAGACTTGCCCCTTGGGAAAAGAACACATTCCCAATCCGCATTCCATATTTTCATCGTTGATGATGCAAAGCTTTGATTCGGAAAGGTTATTTTACAATGTAGGGCTTCTAAAGGATTCTTGTATGGACGTACTTGTACTACGTAAGCAGTGCTAAGCGTATACCGAAAGGGCGATCATCAACGTATGGAGTACGTCTGTGGAGAAAATGCCGATTCTTAACTAATATCCTCAAAAATTTTGCTGATGTTGTGGACCTTTTAGTAAAAATGTTTATATCTTTCTACTTCTGTTCAGCAAACACGAGGTGCTATTTTATTTCTTTATTTACGCACGAGCTGACGTTTCGGCCGATTTCGCCTTCCTCAGAGCCTGGAAGGGTCAAGTTGATAGCAATCCATTCGGCCAAACACCTCCATAACCAAACAGAGAAAACGCTAAGCCAAGATTTCAATCACATTTAGCATAGCT